ACTCCTTAGCTCCTCTATCTTGAGTAGCTGGGACTTTAGATACATTCTACCATGCCTGGCCCTAAACACTTTTTAAGTAAAATTTTAAAGTTTGTTTTAAAGGAAATCCAATTAATTAAGAAACATATAAAGAACTTGCTACAGTATTCCAGTAAAGAGCAAACATTTCTGTCATTTAAAAACATAATTAAATTTATAGAAAACTTTCCCTTAAAAGCATCATTATATGAACCTACTAAGAAGCTTTTCTATTAGGTAAAATATCTCATCTGTATATAGCATCAACCACTGATCTTAAAAACTTCACGTAAGGTATTCACTCCATCCACGTGGGTGAGACTATTAAAGATGTTAACCTGGCTTAACTAGAATCCAATTTCTTCAGAAATACAGACTTGCATTATAAAATCACCATGACATCCACCTACACCACAATGTGAAAGAACATATTTTTCATTTTTGTGGTTCACTTTTTTTGTGTGTGAGTATTTAATGGAAATACATTAGGTGAACTTCTAGAATATTATTTGAAGGATAGAAATTTGTTTCCAGTGCTATGTGGGAGCATGGAATACAGCATAAATGCATTTGTGACATAATTCTTCAACTTGGCAAAGCTTGCATTTAATAAAAAACTAATTACTTCCCTGTATAGCAGGAAATAGTCTCTTGCAAGTTAACCAAAACTGCAGCCAAGAAAAAAGAAAACTTCTCAAATTTCAGAGTTTGTTGGCAGTAGACCTGGAGTTCTCAGTATTTCTTTAATCTTAGTTTTGTGGTGGGAGGATAGTTTGAATTGTTTTGGCATTGTTAACTAAAGTTGGTTACTGCACAAATTCTGCAAAATGTACTTAATATTTGTGCCAACATTCTTAAATAGGTGGACTCACAATTAAGATAGAATGGAAAAAGAGATGGACAAAAAGTATGACTGTAGATGATGTAGAATAAATGAACTTTTAAATTCTGCTAAAAATAAAAATGTTCTCTTTTGGGTGGTAATGGTTATTGAACTATCTATTTTGACCACTATATATACTAAATAAAACTCATAATTGTTAACTCTTTTATTCATTTCTATGCATGGAAATCATTTCAGTCTTATAAAAATACCACAAAATTTTATATAATGAGTTAAATTGCACAGAAAACTTATGCAAGATTCAATGGTTTTAAATACATAGGTTGATGAAATGCAAAGGTGAACTCCTCTTGGGTATTCTAATTGTGCACGGCTTTCATAGAAATAATCGATTTCTACATGAAGTCTTCTTTTGGCTTCCACTACATTGAAAGTTTGATATTTCTGAAAAAATTTCATTTTTATCCTTTTAAGGAGTTTTCCCTTCAGTTAAGACTATTTAGATCTTTTCAATTCAAATGTCCAGCACTTGGTATCATCTTCAAAACACTCATTTTCTGAAATTCCTTAATAGGATAAAAATGAAAATTTTCACAGAAAATGAGTATTTTGAAGATGATGCCTTTTATACCTAGGAACTAACAGTATTGTTTAAAGCGTTGCATACTAAAATTATATTTTCTTCATTCGTTGATCTGTTACTTGTTTCTACTGATTCACCAAGTGCTGGACGTTTGAATGGAAAAGATTCAAATAGTCTTGACTGAAGCGGTTACACATGTTCACATTCCTAGATCTGCTCCCTTCCAATGGCAAAGGTTCATACTTGTCATAAGTCGGTGAGATGATGGGGAGCTAACATGTGCTGAGGGAATTGTAGACATCATGTTGACCTCATGAGGATGATTCTAAAAACCGGCCACCAGTACTCTTCTCACCACTCCAGAAATAGTAATGACTCTTAGTAAAGTAGCACAATCATCTGGGCCCTTTGTTAATTCCTCTATTCACAAGAAATTCTGATTATTTTATTTAGAAATAGAGAAAACTGAAACTCAGAGAAGTGCATTTAATTTTCCAAAGTACAGTGAGCTAGAAATGGATAGATCTTGAATTCAAACCGTGTTTGCATTAGCCTAAGCTCACCATATCTTATTATTAGCTTTAGGTACTTAGAATGTCTCAAAAATGTTTTAATCTACAAGAAACTAATTACTTGTTGAAAGTTTGTTCTTACTACCTTGGTATCCTGATCTAACTTCATTTATTAGAAGGCTCTTCTTTAGCATCAAATAATTTTCACATTTTTAAGTTAATTGAAACATTTGTTTTCAAAACATACTGGTGGTATGCTTTTTAACACTATGGAATACTTTTTTTCACTCTAACACAAAATAGAAAAATATGGTCAAATTAAATTTGATCACATCAGATTTTTTATGTTGTTATCATTTGTGAAGACTATAGACCTTAATATCTACACATGCAAACCATTTAGAGACTGTGTAATTATTTCATTTCCTTTTATAATAATTAGAAAGTTAAACAGTAGGTGTTTACCCATGAAGGAAAATCTGCCTTAGAACTGAATTTTGAAATTTATTGATGATATTATTTATGATTGGATTTCACAGATGCTCTGTGCTTTCAGTTTTTAATCAATGTTTATCTTCGTTTTATTTGGTGATATGCCTCTATTGCTTCCCAGAATACCATTGACACTGTTCAGATAATATAAGTAACTTATTCAATTTCTAAATTTGTTTTCACTGTTCTATCACATAAAACAAGTCCTGATTAACATAAGATGTAGACAGTCATTTCCCTATTTGAGAATATAAGCAGTAAGCACAATAATTTAAACATTTGGTGAAAATATAATTATGTACAGCTTAAGTCAACCATTTGGAAATTTCGAGGCTGACGTATTTGAAGAAAGTATAATCTCTGTTGTTCCTTTTATGCAGATAAGGAAGGTACACACTCTCAAGAAGTATCACCTGTGTTAAGAACGTGTATACAGACCTGTGTCCCAATCTCTGTTTTGTCATGTATTAGTCCCCTGTACACAACACTATGAACATCAGATTTTGACAATAAAATAAACATTACAATGCCAACTTAATGGCATTGCTTGAGGATTAGTTGAAATAAAAATTAATGTATATGTGAAGTCATTTTATATATTGAAATGCACTATCAAGTATAAATTACCATGATTCCCCCTTAACTGTAATTTTACTCTGTGAGATTTGTTACCTTGGTCAATCACCTTCTGAAAATATTAAATGGAAAGCCCCCAAACAAATAATTTATCTTTTAAATTATGCACCACTCTAAGTAGAGCAAAGAAATCTCTTTTTGTCCACACTTTCCAAACTAGGCCTTTAATGATCCCTTTTTCCAATATATCTACACTGTATATACTACCTGCCCAGTAGTCATTTGGTAGTCATTGGGGTTATCAGATTGAATGTCACAGAAGTGCAGTTGTAGCATTCAAGAAATCCTTTCTTTCCTTAACAGTAGCTCCAAAGTGCAAGAGGAGTAATGCTGTCAATTTTATTATAGTGTGTTATTAAAATTATTCTATTTTATTTTTATTGCTCTTAGTCTGTTACTGTGACTAATTTATAAACTACACTTTTAATATTATAGATATATCTGTATAGAAGAAAACAGTATATATAGGGTTTGGTACTATTTATGGTTTCAGGCATACCCTGGGGATCTTAGACATATTTTCTGAGGATAAAAGAGGACTAAATAATAATAATAATAATAATAATAATAATTATAATTATCAATTTCTGTTTTATTTTATGTTAAAGTAATAATTTTGGATGCATTGTAACCAGATTTCATGTTTTTCTTTGGTAATAGTCACACTAATAATTCTCCCTTTATTTCTGGGATTTAGAAAAACCACGCAATGCCCATTTTTAAACCCCCTTAAACCAGAAAATCAACACAGAATGTGGTATTCAGAAAAATCCACTCATAATTCATAGTAGCATTATGCACTACAAATTCCGTAAAAGATAACTGAGAAGCTGATACCTTCTTTTCTAATTATGTGCTTGAATACACGAGCATGGGCACTTATAAGGGCACACACTAATGGTTGTGAGAGGCATCAATACCCTATATAAACATGTGCATGTGAAATGTTATGTTTATCTAGGTAGGACTGATTTCAGTTTCACTTGGAAGTTATGAGATGATTACAAACTTTAAAGGTGTAAGAAATTTTCTTTTAATTTAATTAAATCTATTTGGCGAAACAATAACAAGCTGCAGTTATTCCCAAATGATAGATATATACCATGTGCATGCACACACATACAAATACACATGTAAACACATCCAGATATATAGTTATCAAGTCAAAAGTCTATTGCTTTCCTTAATTAATTACTGAGCTCTGGTTTAATGTAGTTACTGTGTAACAAATGGATATATTTACCTTTGGTTTTCCTTGAAGAATTAGATTTAGTTTGTTCACTGCATCTGTAATTTGTTTGGTTTCCACGCACCCAAGAACACTGCATATATTTTTAATTTCTTCAATAATATCATCTGTATATTGCTGTAGATGACAAGATTCACTGTTTATTAAAATTGAAAAGGCACAAGTACGTTATCAAATTACCACTCTTTCTGTGAAGAGGAAATGGAAAAAAAATCTGGTTGTTCTCACATAAAGAGTTCTCAAGAGTCTGGTTATCCTGTGACCCAAGCCACAATTTGCATTGAGTGAATGCTCAAAGGTAAGACGAACTCAACACTGCTTTATTATCTAACTGAACTACAACTTAACATTATCTGAAACAAGACAAAAGAGAGGAAGAAAATAGAGGAGAAAGGAGAGAAGAAGAAAAGGAGAGAAAGAAAAAGAGACAAAGACATGGAATCACAACACAAAATATATGTCAGTTCTATTCTGGAGCATTTTCTGAACAAAATCTTATCAATTCAAAGACACAGCATGAGTTATTATATTAATAGGACATTACTTTGCCTATTTGTGAAAAAAACACACTTCTTAATATGTTGCGAATAACTCATATGAGATTTTACAAACACAGAACTGATGATAGGTCTAGGGAGAATAACTAATTAATACTATGAAAGACAAAACAGATTCCAAAAATGTCCACAAATTTGATTTATGAACTAGAAGTAAAAAAGTGCAATTTAGTTGGGATACATTATCAGTCTTCCATAGATTACAGAGAAATGACTACTTATTATACTATGAAGAAGAAAAATCTATTAATAATTCCTATTGAAAAAAATCCAGTTGTTTCATTTCCGTGTAAATTCATTATAAGTGAACATATTGAGTCTGATGTGGCTACCAGAAGATTAACTGTATTAATAAATGGAACCAAAAGACTTGGAACCTCAGTAACTAGGAAGCATTAAGTGTCACCTCATTTCCATGTGTCTCATCACTGCTGGAGTTTAGTTTTGGGTAGCATGCTTGAAAATGCACTTGACAAGCTGAATTTTCCCAAAGGAGAGCAACCTCACTATTAATATTTTGTTAACATATTCATTCAGAACAGCACAGTAGACAACATTTTCAGCTCTACATACAGTCTCTTGGTATTCATATCTTGCCTCTTTTCCTTTCTACCTGGAACATCTTTATAGTATTTAGCTTTAATGTGCCTAGGTCCCCTCTTTTATGAAGCAGGAATAATAATAATAATCAATTATGGGTTTGTTGTAAAGATGAATTAGATAAAACATTAAAAAGTGCCTGGCAGAGAATAATAGCTAAATTTTAATGCTTAATTAATTTCTAGCCATTCACACCAATATTTTAGATTATAAGATGAACGAGACACTGCATATGCACAGATAGCTAATAAAATGTGAATTAAAAAGTTATAAAACTATGTGAGAGGTACATATTAGGTGCTATTTTTTATTCAGGCATTCTAAATAGGTATGTGAGATATCTAAATTTGTGAAAATTCATAGAGATTACTAATTAAAATGTAAATGTTGGGTTGATTTTTGTCACTAGGTAGCTGAACAACTAAGGTTGGATTTAAGATGACTCCAAAATTTCATATTTGGAAAATGAAGAAAGCAGGCTAGCCATTAATCATGGCAAAAACACAGACATGATGGGAAAATTTGAGGTAGTATTGAAATGCATGTAATTTTTTGATACACAGAGCATGAGCTTCCCAGGGAAAGGGCAATGAGGTTCAACTTCAGCAACTGATGGATTGAGAAACCTACCTTCACACGTGTATATGTGCACACTCACACACAGAGACCCTGCAAGTTTATATGAACATTAGATAAAGTGTAAGAAAAAAATAAATAAATGCACAATATCCCCAAACAAAAACAGCCTAATTCTCTTGGTGACATAAATGTAGCAGGAACTTCAAGCCTGAGGAGTAGCTCAAAAGCTAATGCTGCAATGGCTGAGGAGAAATCAGACAGAATTGAGACCTCAGGCTTAAAGATTTATTGCTCATGTTGGATAAGTAGGTGAAGTATTATGCTTAAACTAGTTGGTAGAGGTAGGGGATGGGTAAGATCCGTGAATAAACCCCAGACACTGGATGGATGGAT